CCCCCCCCCCCCCCCCCCCCCCCCCCCCGCAACGCTACTGATCTTGTCTCGACGTTTGTAGTATATCATATATGTTTGTTTCTCCTCTGTGTTGTTCTCTCTTATTGCTTATTGTCGCGCTTGTTATTTTGGACATTGGCACCTTTTTCATTTTTTCGCGCTTAGACTCAGAGAAATGAGATATATAATTACTCTCTTTTTTTCTCCTCAAGTTTCCTAGAAGCTTCTTGATATATCTCTCTTCACTGAGATATACTAATTCTTCTTTTTCTTCTCTGCCAAAAAGAATCATCTTTTTGATCAATTACACATTACCTTTTTCTTTTCAACTTGATTGTTCTTTACAATCAAACTAACTCGATTGTTCCTTACAATCATTCGAACTCGTGTCAGTTATTTGCTTGTGGAGTTCTTTTTATTCTCAACTATTTCTGTTCATCGAATAAACAATTGGATCTTTATCCAATATTCAATACTATTTTATTTCCATTGTTGTCATTCAGTCATAAACAATACTGTGGCACCTGGCATTATTATTAGTTACGTCTCTGATCCTCATCAAGGCGTTACAGGGGGCTTGGAATATTTGTTTTGTATTCGTACGAAAATTAATCTAAAACTAAATTAATTTTTTGAAAAAAATCTAGTAGTTTTTTTTGTGGATGTTCATTTTTATTCGAATTCGAATTAAGCAGCTACTCATCACGAACGTTATAAAATCTTTAGAGAAGAAAAATATTGTTTTTTTTCTGGTTTTTTAATTGTCTCGCACATGCCAACCTACAGAGATGGGCAAGTCCAGAAATTTAATATATTTTTGTGATGTATACCTCTAATTCTTGTCTTACAGAAACTACCCAGGTGAAAGAAAACGGCCTGAAACGGCATAAAAACGATGTGAAACGTTAAAAAACGGCGACGTTTTCCGTCAGCTCGGAAAACGAAGAGAATAGTGTTAAAAGTGATGGCCGTTTTCTAGGAAAAAACGGCCCGTAAAACGAGCTGACGGATTACGGCGAAATAGGGTGAAAATTAATGCCGTTTCAGACCGTTTCCGGTGGCCTTTCAGACGGCAAGATGATCCTCCTGGGTATAGCCGTTGAAATAGACACAACACTGAAAAATGGCAACACTTGAGAGTACTTGAACGCTCAAAATTTACCAACGGAAAAGATAGAAGAAATTGAGCGTAAACAGTACACGATTTGTCAAACTCGAATTAACGAGTGATAACGATCCAGACTGAGTTCGTCTTACCTATTCTATACGATGTTTAGTAATTTCAGAACGGATAAGTCATACACACATTGGTAGTTTCGCGCTACTAATGATGATTATGGATGCAAGTGAACTAGCAACAGAAATGTTAGAAACAGTACTAAAAACTCAGGTTGACCCATTTGAATGCTTTAAATTATATTTTATATTGGGAACACTATACACTCACGTGAAAGAGATCAAAAGTAGCACTCCTAAACTATGAAAAAGTAGTGAACAGTTATGTCGTTCGTTTATTACCACTATAATTGATTGGAATGATCTAATTTTTGTTAGGTGATCTATGTATGATATAGACCATTCATGCTAAGCTGCACAATAAAAATGAAGAGCTCATTAGCAATTAATCATCGTATCCACTCTATTGATAGTATTCATATGATGAGCGGACACATATTTTTCGAAAGAGGTGATACATCCAATGATTTGGCTAGTTATCAGAAGACATTAAAATTTCCTCATGATCAAGTCATCCTAATAACATTCATATTCATTGTTCCATGGCTACAGCTTATATACAGCAATGTTTTGAAATTCTGAATGTGTCTAACTTTCAGAATCATGCCTATGTGAGTATAGCATACGCAATGATGAGTAAGCTACTTGAAAAACAACAAAATCCATCAGAATTATCATATTATCAGCACGCACCACAGACTGATCTGAAATGTCAATCACCAACACACCCTATGTTTTTGCAAATTCAATAAAGTAATTATCTATGGAATACAGTGTCGAAACAAATCTACTGAGATTTTAATTCTTTTTCTCGAATTGATTATTCTCTCAAATATTTATTTTGTCATTAATTATGTGCTGTTAGGATAAAGCAATTGTGAATAAATTAATTGCTCCAGCAGTTTGCTGGTTGATCTGTAATGTGTACCCAGGAACGTACATCATTTCGAACATTCCCAAATGCATAGTAGGACCAACCACCAATTTCCATTCGACTCGCATTAGTTGTCCAACTCTCTCCAGCATACGTGGTTCCATTAATGTTTCGGATAACCTTCCCATTATGGAATGTAGCTACACGCCAACCAGTACTGTATAAGCAGAAATATACGCAATTTAAAATCGTCATCTTAATGAAAAATACTTACCGAAATACTGAGCACAGTATGCATCGACTGCTGCTCGATTTCTAAAGCTAGAGCCTGCTACTGGTAATGTAGTTGAAATATGCCCAAGAGTCCAACCAACGTAAAAGGCAGCAGGCATAGCTGCACCATTGCCTAATACAAGATATGGTGGACGAGGCGAATTGTCTATCTTGGCACAAAGTACAGTTCGTTGTTCATTGCAATCTGTATCACCACGATACGGGTCACAATTAAACCCATTTGGATTGTACCAATCTCGACAACCGACAAGATCAATACCGTATGGAACCAAATGGTCCCATTTGATAAATGTAAGACCTTTTCTTCCTATGGAAAAAATATAATTAGATTCTATACCTTAGTTTGTATAGAACATAAATCAAACTCTAACCGCTTAATTGTTTCGATTGAGATCCAGCTATGGTTGTCTCAGTAGGTAGCACATTTCCATCGATTTGATATAGTTTTAGCACAAGCACAGCAAAGATTATGGAAGTCGTTTGCATATTGATCTAAAATAAAGGACATAAAATCTGAAGTATTGATTTAGTAAAAAACTTGAATAAATCATTTCTTGCTCAACTTGAGCTTAACTATATATTTGGCAGCGAAATAGCGAAAGGCAGCAATACATAGAAAATTAGACATGATAAATAGGGATGAAAAAGGCCATAGAGATGAACATTGAAAACGGAGCACTAGCAAAGCTGACGAAGTGCAACCGCTATGTAGAAATTAATTACTGTTCGTATATGCGCGTTGGTATGTGTTCCGTCCTTTTCTTTCGTTTATTCCTTTCAATCCTTCTTTTATTCCAAAAACAAAAAAACAAACGAGCAACCAAATATATATCCTTTTCCTTTCTCTCTCTCTTCCACCAGTCGGTTCCGTCTCATAACTATGATAGAGGGATAAAGATGGACGTCTTATGTCAGGAGATGTCTCTACTCAGGGACGGCGCAAACGGGGGGGGGGGGGGCGCTGCCCCTCCCCCAACTTTGGAAATTTTTGTTTCAATTTTACTCCGATTTGAAGAAAATAGAAGAAATTTTTATTAATTTACTCCGATTTTTGAAAAAAAACCTCCCGTTTTCAGGTAACCCCCCTATGTTTTTGTTGCTTCGCGCCGTCCCTGTCTCTACTGACATAACAGTATGTTTGGTGTTGTTGCGTGAATAAAGATTGACGGAGCACTAGCTAGGTTGATGAGAGCTTCCGCACACATAACGTTGATTGTCAAGACAAAGTACCACAAGTCTCAAATATGAAAGTAAACAATTTAAAAAGAGAAGGTGGTGGGGTAGACGGCGGATAGAATCAGCAAACACAAATTAGTTATAGTAGAATAATGGAAGAATGATAGAATATATTGTAAATCTGTATAGCAACAGCAAATAGAAATTAATTAAATAATATGCACGAAGTAAAGGCGCTCATCATTGATCATGAACTAACGTTGGCGCTCGTCAATCACCAACTAATGTTCTAGTCATAGCGAGAATTATTTTAGCATACAATACATGTTGATCTGTCTTATTAGCGGTGTGAACCCACCATTTCAAAACTCGCCTGTTAATCTTGCAGTTGATTACCGAGATGTAAACGTGAACTGATCGATCGACTAAGATTGTAGCTAATAAAAATGTGTTTATATACAGTATTCGCTTCCTACTTCCGTTGTTGTGAAAATAAAACACCTTCGTGCTTTCTGTTTGAAAGCAAGACGAACAAAACCGTCGCAAACAGAGTATCAGCAATTGGCTGTACAAAAAGTCATGCTATGTGACACATCCATACCCTTTACCTCATTATACACAATTTATGTATTTTTTTCTTCTTCCCTTTTAGAATATTACAAGAAGCATGATGCATTTCTTTCCGCTATTGTAGTTAATCAAAAAATGTGACATTGAATACAAATTTCTGTTTTCAATGCAAATTTAACTTAGTCATTCAGAATATTAGAGAATGCGTCCATAGCATCAATGACACAGGCTATCGAGTGATCATTCCATGATCTAGAGTGCAGAAAATTGTTGTGGCTGCGTTTTCCCGTCAAGAATGCTTACCATTTGGATCCGATTTATTTGTTTGAATTATTTAAAGTTAAATAGTTCTGCAAAATTATGAAATTAAGGGAAAATATAGGTTAAGATTGATTTCAAGAGTCCTAAACTTCTTCATGAAGTAAACATCTCACTCTGTTTTTTTTGATCCCTTATATATATTTATGTAGTAATAATAAATAAATTATTGTTAAGGTTTAAAAATAAACATGAATAATCACATTAAATGATTTATATAATAAATGTGGAAACTTCGGATTTCATCCGAGAGTTATGTGTACTGCAAAAAGTGCATGGGACATATGAGTCATTCTAGAATGTCTGAACACCAAAATTATTATGAGAAACTAGGCAATTTGATTTCTGGATGTAGTTTTTGTGCATTTTGAGACGTTTTTCAGGCGATGTTTCGTTAGAAAGCTACGGTTTAATTCAAAACTAATATCAGATTCAGAATCAGCGTTAAAAACTGAGACGATTTATATATGTTGTGAATAATTCTGAGAAAAATTTGTTTTTTGAAAAAAAATTCCTGTACCCCTCCTCAGGGATGGTCTGATCAAAAATGGCAATTTTTTCGATAACTCAGCCATTTCTTGACGGATCCTTCTCATCTTCGAACTCGACCGAGATATTGATGAGACAATTCTGTGCATAAAATTTCAGCTCAATCGAATGCAATTGTGACGAGTTATCGAATAAATGGCCGGACACACTGATCGATTCTAGTGTACTGTTTTTTTTTTGAGTACACAAAAATGCTTTCTGTATGATTAAATATCTGGTGTATAATTTTGTAAATCACCAGTTTTACTATTTTTAGGGTAAACTGTCAATGAACGCTCATAACTTTTGTGCAAAAATGCGTAATGTGGCATTAAACAAATATGGTAAAAATTTTATATGATAATACGTTTTATATGAAAATTTTTCTTGTTTCTAACGTAAAATGAGTATTTTATGAAAGTTACCTATCGATTGGATTCTGTGCGTGATTGTCAGGAATGAAACAATATACTAGACTGTATGTATCAGTAAACAACGAAGAAGTTGGAAATACAACGAAGAGCGCTAGGTAATATTTTATATCTTTGAAAACTGGACATAAACTATAGATTTCACCCAACCATTGAAAAATTCTTGAGGGTGTGGGCCAAGCATGATTCACTCGACATATCCACACCCCTAAATGATCTCACGAAAAGAATAATGAGGTCAAAGCTACGTTCTTTTCGCAGTTTGAAGTAGTTCTTTGAAAAATAACAACCATGAATTACATGGACTAGATCTTCTCTATGATTTTTTTATTATCTATAAAAATTTTCTCATTTAAATAAAAAAAAAGATGATTAAAACTAAATAAATCTTTGCAAAGAAAAAAAATATATAAAGCATTTAATTTCTAGAATTAGGCATGCATACAAAAACGAATACAAGCTATTATGGACCACATTCAGGCACATAACTGAACAAAAAGTATAATATATACAGAAACTAATTGAACAATTATCTCATAGAGACTGTTCATTAAGTTAAGAGAATGAAAATATAGATTATAGAATTAAAAATCTCTCTCAATATCATCATTTATCATTGATGAATTCCAATCTTCAGGATTTTCATTGTCAATTAAGAAATCAATGGATATTCATCTAGATTAATAAAAATCAATTTTCACTTCAAAAAAAATTAAATATAAATTTCATACTTTTTGTTTCTGAATTCACACTATTCAAATTTACATGTGCTAAAGCAAGCTAGAAAATAATACTTCGTTATTATTATTCTTTGCAAAAAAAACTGAAATCTACCTAAGGAGATTGTCGTTTCGTAATTATCTGTTGCTTTATAAATAAAAATAAATAAATCATCAAATTTGATCGAGATTTTATCTGATAGCTACTTTAGTTCGTTTTCTGGTGGCTGTTGAAGTTTGTTGATTAGTTTGATTATGATCGGTTGAACTCTCTGATCTCACTATTTTACTAAGCATTATAGTTCGAGTGATATCTTTCTCGCATGTTGTAAATCAATTTTATAATAATTTCGTCAATGCCGATAGAGATTTACAGGACACGGACGATCGCAAGAAACTTTTTTTCATAAATCTTATAAACTTTTTAAGAAATTCGAATCTCCGTGATTCGATGTTGTTGAATAAGGACATAAACATTAATAGGGTACAATATCAATTTCATCGCCTGCTGTTGTTGTATTCATTGGCGTAGATTGTGCATTACTATTGATAATAAGATCGTTAATCACTGTTGATTCTGTACTAATTCGAATTGAACGAAGTGCAAGTTCACCACTCATTTGATAGTAATGCCTATAACGACAGGATCAAATCAGTTTCATCGATATATTAGTAATAAATATTGGAATCTTTTAAAAAAATAATAATTTCCGTCTCCTGTAGGTTTGATACTAACCGATTCAGACTGAAAATTAGTTCAAATATACTAGTCAAATATTTTTAATAACTTAAAAAAAACTTGAAATTCATTAAACTCGTGTTTTTATTTTAGCATAGTATCATAATAAGAACATCATTCTAGCAAAATAAGTTCATCGTTTTCTATTTTTATCTATCTATAAAATTTTTAAGGATTACAAATTCGTAATAGCATATTCTTAAATAATTTGTAAAGATAAATTAGCACTTGTCGAGCGCACTCTACTACCTATTCGATCTTCTTTATATATAGGTCTTGAAAAAACATTTTTCTTTTACATTCTGGATCGATGCTTGGCAATAGAAGGCAAACTTTATAAGGGTTTGGTGGAAAAGGCAGAAAGGGAAAACATCGAAAGGTAAATGTCGAAAATTGCGTTTTTTGATAATTTTAACGAAAAATAAAAATTTATTTGATCATATGACAAAATACAATAAAGAAAAAGAAGACTAAGTTTATCAGTATTATTTACTTTTTTTGTGTGATCCAAGTAGTAATGCTAATCTCTTCAATAATTGCTTTGCATTGATTACCAAATCAAAAGAAAAAATTTTCGTTATCTATAGACATCTTTTTCGTTCTACGTTTTCCTTTTCAAAATTCTTCTACTTTTTTTCTCTGGCAGCTTTTCTTCGACATTGTTATTAATTATACTTTTCCATTCGACGTTTTCCTTTGTTTTTTCGACATTTTCCTTTCTGCCTTTTCCGCCAATTCCCTTTATAAGCTCACAGGAGTCATTAATTTTGATTCCACCAAATAAAGTTTAGATGATGATGCTGATTTCATTGTCTAATTTTATATATCGAAACTAATTTTCAAACGTACCGTTACTATGCGAAACGAGATTTGACAAGGGAATACTTCACAATAGAGAGATCCTATTTTTACATACCCATTCATTAAAGTTCAACGTAAAAACAGCCTACTAATAATGATGCGTTATTCACAGGATATAATTAGATAGCAGTAAAATAGGCCAGAAAGGTGTTGAATAAATTTCTTCACGGAAAAAGTTCGTTCGATTGATTTGAAATATTTCAGTCTTCATCAGTTTAGTGTATGAATTTTTCATTAGTTTTATTGTGACAATGATAAATTTGTTTTCAACATGTTCAAAGAATCGCCTTTTGATTTAGTTCTTGCCAATATTCATCATTAAGAAAACGATCATAGTGGTAGGAAAACTGAATTTTTGTTTCAGCACAGTAAAACATATTTCATACGCAGCAATCAAAACGTCAATAGTGCTGAATTGATTTGTGAAAAAGAATGTTATCTTTTTCTTTTCGAACTCTAGGAGAACTTGCATCTCATAGGAAATTTATTGAGCTATAAATATTTAAAACGTGATTATAAAATGAAATGATACAAAATAAAAGCCATTTTCTTTACAATAGTATTGCAATTGTACCAAATGGGAAGCTTGAACTCGTCATGGTGTTGAAATTGGTCAGGCTCTGCGAGAGTTTTAACGCTGTGAAGATAGCACAGCAGCCTCATATGTTGGAGGAGGCTGTTCGGCATAAGTGGCAGCCACTGTGGATATTGAAATTGTATAAGGTCGATCAATTTCATTTGTTCTTCCTGTATTTATGGAAACATTTCTCAACGGAATACTATTTGCTTGTGAAATTGGGTTCTGTCTCAATAGACTAAGTTGTTGCCTAAGAGTCCTTTTTCGTTTGTTTGTACAAGGACGACAACAAAAAACTCCAATCAACAACCCAACACAGCCAGCACTAATAACCATACTTTTTATTATCTTCAATAAACCACCAGCTTTGCATGTTAATTTGTTGCCGCACGAATATGGACCTGTGTAAAAAACAAGAAACAAGATATTCATTTGTTATTGAATATTTCATTTTCTTAAGAATTCTAGGTCAAAGATATTGTGTTTTTCTCTGAAAATATCGACACGTCATGGAAGTTGCTTTCTTGGACAAGGCCAAAGTTACGAACAACTGTACATGCTCAAGTTAAATAGAGCGAACTATTGCATTTTTCACTTGAGACTTGCATTCTTCATGAAGAGATTGAAAAACCGTGTCTACTAGATCGCATTGTGAGGCATTCTGGAAAACAAATCAGGAGAATACAATGCAAAAATCGTTCATAATGGCCCACCCACAGCTAATTTTCTCCACTCAAAGCAAAAAAAAATCAAAAATATGAAATATTTCGACAAATGAATTATTGCGCAGTTGTAGTAAAAGCAAAGTATATTAGTAAAACGATATTTCAGGTCACTTTTGGGAACACTTCTTTCGGTTGGAATTTTACTCAGAGTAGAATGCAGTGACTCTGAATGGCTCATTAGAAATACGTGTTGCATTTTGTCTTGAAGAAAAATTTTCCAGAATGAATCACAGTATGATACAGTAGCGTCATCTTTTCAAGCTCTATCAGCAAATAGAAGTTCCAAGTAAAACGACACTAAGATTGTATCTAAATTTTGTGTACTAGTACCCAAAGTAGATTAATTATTCACATTTCCTTAGATGAACAAGGGAACGCATGATTCATGTTCTGGTAAGAAATCTATGTTTGTTCTATTATCAGCTATTTTCATATGAGTAAAGATTTTAAAAACGCGATGTGACTAGATCTGCTAATTTCAAAACGACGTATTTACTCAATGAAGACAACCATGAAGGACACTGGTTATATTAATAGATCGGATGGTCACTGAAAGAAACCTTATAAAATTCAAAGTTGTACAGAACATTGCGTTGTCTTATTTAAGTACCCGATACTCTATATTTTCAGTTTCAGATAGCTTCGTAACCAACGCTTTTTCACGTTGAACTATGATAGCCCGTTCATGCATTTGATTTTCTCATCCACCCACCTGCACTGTGTCTGTATGTGGTCAGCTCAAGCCGTTCTGGACCAGCCGCTTCAATCAAGAACCTTCCTGTAACAGCTTTTCTATACGGTGTCACAACCAAAACATAACTGTGACTCGACTGCAAAGAGGCATTGATTTGAAACTGTAGATTACCGCCACTGTCATCATCAGATATGATCAAATTCCGATAACTGTCTGATGAATTGAAAGGCTCATTGTATAAATAACCAGAGGTGTCTATTGAGCTGCTACTTTTGAAGGTATACATGCCAGTCATGGAAACCGTCACCAGAATCGCTTGATAAGGAACGTTGTTGTAATCATAAGCGTAAGGTCTGGCAAATTCTGGACTACTTGATGAAAGAACATATGAAGCCGTCGCTAAAATGTCAAAGACAACGATTTATAAAGACCTCCCTATTGGCGTTTCGTAAACATTTTCTCGTTTGATCCATTGGAAAGCTAAATTTTGTCCAAGATACTTTTGTCGTAGGATCGATAGGCAAATATAAATGAATATTTAATCAGTTGAGTTAGACACCTCATGCGTCTATGAAACTTATGCCGATGCTCTCAAATACCCACTACCTATTTTCATGAGTTCTTAAAGTTTTTACTGTATGTTTGTATTCTGAATTAGTGCAAAAGTCACTGAAGATATTTACTCCGTTTGATAAGCCCGATCGAGCCGAAATTTCCATGCAGTTGGCCAGTGCGCTCGTCTGAGTCATTCGTGGATGAACACTCTAAAAATAGTAAGTATCATAGCGAAATTAAAAGGGTTCACCGAAGAGCACGAAACCTAAAAATGTTCTTCCAGTGCGCACACGAGAAGAAGATTTTGCTTTAGAGTGAAGAATACAATTTAGAGTGCAGTTTTCGCCGAATATATCTGCTTCTTCTGACAAATAGTACTTCCATGAAAATGAAAATACTTCAAACGCCCTGTTCTATTCTCGTTAAATGCTTCTGTTTGCAGGTAAATTATAAAGAAACGAAAATTTCTGATTAGCATCCTTCCTGCCTTGTTTATGAGTCAAATCATGCTCGAGGTATGAGATAAAGTTTATTTAAACGTATCAATGTTTCTTTCCTTTCAAGATTTGCCCAAAATGATACTTTCATGCTCTCCTATATAAAACAAAAGCAGGCACTAAAAATACATATTGTTGCGAAAATTTTCGGAAACACTCACTCTTTTCTCATTCGTTCTCTTTGAAAAACATGCAACGCACGTTTATGCTCACTTACTTGTTATTGGCTGAGCTGAACTTAAAACAGGTTGCATTGGGCCGGTCGCTGTGATTTGGAAACTTCCTGTAACAATCTCACTAAACGTTGTTACAACCAAAATATATGCGCGTCCCGGCTGAAGATTAAGCCTAATACGAAATTGATGAGCACCATTGCTGTCATCATCGCTTTCGATCAAATTCTGAGAAGAACGATCTGGAAAAAATGTTTCATTGTACAAACAACTGAAAGTATCCATTAAGCTACTGCTTGAGAAGGTGTGCATGCCCCACGCGAAAACTGTCACTTGAATCGCTTGATAATAGTAGACTGTTCCGCTACCACTAGGTCGAACAAAACATGGACTACTCGATGATAGAATGCCTGAGTACGTCGATGAAGTATCCAAGGAAGTTGCCACTAAAATATTCGAGCAGATTTGTCGATAGAAACCACTACGTTATCTTACTCAAAGCAACACGCAATTCACCTTTACTTCTAATTAGAAACGATCCTACTTTGCACGAATCTTAGACATAGAATATGCCAGTAAAAATAGTCAAAAGAAACACTAAATGAAATCCCAATACTCCGTATTAATGGATTATCATCGTCAGTTTCTGGTGATTATTCATTACATTTCTCAAATCATTAAGAGTCCTTCACGCTGTTGATCAATCCAATGATTTTCTTTATAGATGATAAGAAAAGCAAAACTTATTTAACTTTTTTTAAAGTTTAAATTGAAGCAATGATCATTTATGACCCTGTCTTTCTCTCTATGTGTTATCAATAATCTTCCTAAAGGGAATATTAAAAATTACAACACAATATGAAACACATGAAGTTTTATACAAAAAGAACTATTTTAATTTTCATGGCTTAATAGAAAACTTTAGAGATTGTTTCTGAATGATCATCATTGGCGAAATATAAACAAATATGAGGCTTACACACTGGCCCATCATACGCAAAGTGTTTTTATTAAATATTATACCAATGATAATCGTTTTTAAACAATTTCAAAATATCAAATATAGTATTTATATTATTTTTCCTAAACTAAACTTCTGTACGATGTAAAAAAAAAAACAATCGATTTATCTGGATTCTTGGAAATAAATAATGTTAATCTGTTCTGTTAGATCAATTAAAGATGTATGAAGAAAAATAGTACGTGCAAGTCAAGACTGAGATCATCTGTGTTAAGGATAAAGATCGTCAAAGGAAATCTAATAAAGACTATCTTCCAGTGTTTTTACACAGTAGAGAGAAACAATCTATTCCATTTGGAATTCTGCAATAGACATTTTCCCATAAGCGTCATTGCCGTCAAATTATTTTAATGACGTTCATATACACGAAGAATTCTATAGGTTTATCGAAATTCTTACTTGGGATTGAGCCAAAACCCAGTTCAAGTAGTATGACAGCTACAAGAAATGATCTATTGAATAATGTGTGGGGCAGACAAAAGTGCTGCGGTGATAAATGATTTTCTGCGTCATCTACTGTTGAATATGTCTTTGTATTGTTTCGTGGACCACCTTTTCGAATAGTAGGGATGGTTACACAATGATGAAATACATATGAGTTCACAGACTCTTTCATGCTGCTAAGAAGTTGTTTGTGTTTTATTGTTCGATTCCGTTTGAAAAGAAGAAGAAGAATCTAAATAGTCATAATTTGTAAAGCTCTATCAATATCTTATGTGGTTTTCATCTACTGTTAACTGATGTTATTGTACGCTTGTCTCTCGTAGATTTCGTCACAGGCAAGCAACGGATATCATATTTGCGATTGAGGGTGTGAGGTGTGTGTGTCTGCTCATTTAATTATCACATCCACATCCTCTGGTCACAATAAATTTTCTTTTTATTTCACTATTGACTTCTTTCAATAAGAAAACTATCCCGATATACGTGCCTTTCTCTAGTAGTTCTATTGGTTAAGAAAAGAGTTTGATTAAAAGCTGCATGTTGAAAATATGGGAAGAATCATTCAAAAAAAAAGGATGATATGTCGTGCATACCACTCGAGCAGTCATTCTGAAAGTTACAAGCATCTTATTCACATCTACATCAGAACTTCAATAAATGTTGGTATATCAGAAAGCTAACAATAAATGATGTTACTCTTAAACACTGAAGAAAACCCCTTCTCTTATCGCGATGTTTTAATACGAAGTTCAAACAACCATACTTATCCACTCATTTCGTTAGGATTCATCAAACTGTTAATAGAAAATACTTTTAGAATCTACACAATTGCTTTTCCGTTGAGGCTGTGTGAATTCAAATGCGCTATAAATACTCGGAAAATAGCTCATACTCGAATCTTATTGTTACTGATATACTGCATTGTTATGGTATTTTTTTTAAATAAGTGTCTTAAACCCTCGAAGGTACCCGAGAAAAAATTCTACATAGAAAACGTTTCTAGAAAGAACTTTTGCATATAGATACTGTGTTTTATAAATGAAACGGATCTGCTATTCAGCTGTTTACTTACGTTTGAATTAAAAATGAAAACTGAAAGATATGTTTGTGAAGAAAAGTCGAGCATCCCTACCTGAACATCATAACGTTCCCGGTTGAATGAATTTCATGCGTCATGCATAATCTTACGTCATCATCGTCTCGTACATTATGCAGTGTCTTTACCTTATTGCTTTATATATACATATCCTTCGTTTCTTTTCTTTCATCGTTTCTTCTAGGTGCGTATACCAGTGCACACTTTGTATCGAGACAATATGAAACATATTATATGAAGGAATAGAATAAAGCGCAATACTACCGCCGACACTAATACTCCTTCTGTCTAAAACCGTCACAGCTACATTTAAACCTTCACACATGCCCGGACATTCACGATTTTAAGCCGTATAACATTGACGTGAATTTACGGATAATAAAATCGTATGATTGGTTCGTTGAGGTTCCACATAGACTTACCTGTGAGTTTGAACATCTTGACGGCGCTTGCGATTATTAGTTTAATTCTACTCATACCCACTATCCATTCTTAGTCTCTCATTTTTTTATTCACTTCGCCTAAAATGTAGTACTTCGAAAAACTAACTGTAATATGCACAACGGTCATAATACAGGAGAATGTAAAAATGATCTTTATTTTCGACATGAGTCATCGGTGCATCGTTCGTATTTATTTTGATGCTGTACACTTAGCTAGGCAAGTCATTTGGAATTTCATTGTGACCGTATCCGATTCCTGCTTTAGTAAACTGAAAAAGCCTTGAAATCCAATCTCAGGAATTATACGGAAAATCACCAGATCAGATCGTTTCCCGGAATACGCAGTCGATCTGGGCATGCAAAGTTTTTCGATCGAATAACTCTATAGAACACATTCGGGTTGTTGTAGATGTCTTAACTATTTGTATTCAACAAAAATAATTCAACGAAAAATTCGTGGATGACGAAACTCTTTTATTATACAAATAATAACTAAGATCAAAAAAAGAATAACAGCGATTAACGAAACCAAGTGGATAATCCAGGTCGATAAATTGTTGTAGCATTTTCTTTATTGGTCATTTGTATCATACGTTTTTCATCTTTAGCAAGTTCATCAAATGGTTGTTTGCCACGCCATACATCAGGATACTCAAATGTTTCATTCGTCTATAATAAAAATATTTTGTTTTTGTTTTAAAAGAAAAAAATATTTTGCTTTACCAAGAATACATAAGCAAATTTTCGATCTGGATCAGGATCGATTATTTCGGATGAAACTGGATGACGATTTTCTTTGCCTTAAAAATAAAACAAATTCATTAGTAAATATTTTAATAAACTATGACAATATAAAAACCTTGTTCAATTCTTGTTGTTACATCAAGCACATCGATTTTATAAATTTTTTCTAAATATTGTTTTACATCTTTTTTAGTCATCCTAAGAAGAAAACCAACCGATGAATAGATAGATATAGGAATAGATAGATTGCGTACTCAATATGACATTCAAATCGAACAACATTCGGTCTTAGTAGACGATTTTCCTCGGGTCTCATTATTCTCATCCAAAATTGAGGAAAAAAAACTCGATGTTTTGGATCGCCCGGTTGCCACTTCGGATAGCGAGGTGTCAGTGATTTATATAGGTATTGACTAAATAAAATAAAATACAATCAATATAAGATAGAATGATCTCTTACAGATGTGCTGGTAAACGCATTTCAATTGATTACAAATTGAACACCAATGTTGAATCAAAAAAAGAAAACCAGTGAATCCAAATTGATCAGACTGCAAAGTCCATACTTTATACCTAGTCAATATCCACACCAGAGGATGATATCTATCGTAGTTGTCACTAGTTGCTGATCAAATTTTGATCATGTGTATCTATAATATAATATCTTCTCTATACTACATGAATCATTACCCAAAGTTCTTTCCACTTGCAATTAAAAATAGATAAAGATGCAGTCGTGGAAGAACACGTAGATAATGAATTCAGTTTTCATAACGATTTGCTAACAGGACAAATTTCAATCGCACTTCATATTAAAGATATCCCTTGCAAGCTTCGCATTCTTATGATGACCAAACAATTAATAGATTGTGAAAGTTTTTGACAAAAAAAAAATTTCTTTTTCAAAGTTTTGTCAAAAATAAATGAGTGAAGGAGTCTTTTGGCAAATTTTTTAATTGGTTTGAATTTCTCCAATGAACCTGTTTGTTTAGTGAGAGAAGAAAGAGAAGAAGAAAAAAGAAGCGAACGAACGAACGGACGAAAAATGAATACTACCTGACAAAATGTGACTTTTTGCAAAAAAAAATTAATCTTTCTTTAAAGGACAACGAATAAAAAAAGTGAAATCTTCTAATTAAATCATATTAAATTTCATTTGTTGCTTTTCGCATGTTTATCGTCCCTCTATTTGTGCACTAAGTCGGTGAAACTACGAGCAAGAGATCTTTTTATTTTTAGATGGCATCTGATTCAAAAGCAGCTGGTAATGCAGTGACAAGAGAAATCGAATCTCGTATTAAGTAGGAGATTCTACTGTTTTAATTTTCTTCGATTTTATTCATTGCCTTCTAGGCAAATACCTGAACATTTATTTGAAGTTTTCCTTGAGATTCGAGAGCCCATTGAAGATGAAAGTAAGTCGAAATTTTCTGTTCCTATTGCTTCAGGTGTAAGAAACAATTTTAGTACCAGCAATTTTATTGAAATATCCAGAAAATTTTCCTGATGAACACCTTAAAACTGTCACCAATTTTGCTTATCCATGCAAAATGCCATCGTATGATTTAAAACAAGATGATTATTTAATTCCTCTTTTAAAAATATTTGTAGAGACGAACAAAGTGAACATTTTGCATTTGTGATACTCGATTCAACTGGTACTCTTTTTCGTTTTGGTTATTGTCGACGATCGAATCGTGAATCGACTTGTTTATGTATTATAAGGTACGACAAAACATTTACATTGGAACTCTTAATTCAAACAAATTCTCTTTTTTTCTAGTTTTTATCCATGGTTTGAAGTTTTCTATAAGATTTTAAATGATTTATCTCAAGTGATCGTTTCAAAACCGGTAAGAATATTTTTTTATTGGTAGTTTTACATTTAAATATCTACATGGTTATATAAACAGTTGAAGGTTACTTCTCAATCATCGACTTTAGTAGGTGTTTTTTTTTCAAGCTGCTGCTATTTAAGCTTACTCAGAACAGTTTCTTTTAAAAAGAATTTTTATTTATTTATTTTTTTCCTATCTTGATAGACTGCCGATGTGAAACAATTGTTATCATCGTTATACAATTATAAGTTATTGTCAATTGAGGAATTTCACGAAAACGAAGGCAAAGAAGAAGTTAAAATAAATATTCTTTCGAAGGTAAGTTTGTTTGTCAATTATTCCTTTTTAAAATATGGATAATCTAGAATTTTAATTATACTCGACCTGATCCACGAAAACTCCCTTCAATGTTATCTAATGTAAGTATTCATTAGGAGTTTTTATCACAGAAAGATACTGTCTGTTCTAAACTCCTTGATTTGTTTCTATCTAAAAGTTTCAAAATCTCTGAAAAAATGATTTTTTTATTTAGCGTAATTTTTCTGTCATGGTGTCAAGATTGGGCCCAGAATTAATGCTATGCCTTTTTTCACATTTACTGTTCGAACGACGCATTCTGTTTGTTTCATCGAAACTTTTTCATTTAACTGGTTAGTTTTGTTTTTCGGTATTAAAAGATACGATTGATGAATATTGTCTCTAGCGTGTGCATACGGCTGTTTACATTTAATTCATCCAATGCATTGGTAAATATTTTCCTGAAAAACAAAATTGATTATTTCTTTTTTGTTTTTCTAAAAAAGGCAAAGCATATTTTTGCCAATACTTCCTGCATCAATGACATGGACAACACAATGTAGCACACCGTATATAATCGGATTGCATTCAAGTTTATTTTCAACATTAACAATGGATGAATTAGGCGATGTGGTCATTGTGAAGATTGACGAACGAAAAATTGAATCACAATATGATGATCTTAGTCTTTTTCCGAAGTATTTAATTCGAAGCATGAAAAAAGGTATTCAGCAATCGTCGCAATTAGCTGGAGATCATTTGGCAAGAGTTTTTCTTCGAGCTATGGCATTTACTGTTGGTGAGTAATTACATTCGATTGTGAAATTATTTTTCTTTTCATTTGATTAACAGGTAATTATGCAAATGGATTTGACATTAAAAATGATAAATTAGATTTTGATCGAGAACGTTATCTTGAATCATATCTTGGATCTCATGTGCATACATTTATGTCTGCTGTTGCTAATACGCAAATGTTTGAACAAGTACGAAACATTTTGATTGCTTAAGACGAAAACCAAGAATTTTCGTTGCTTGTAGTTTTCACGGTATCGAACTCATGCACAACTTGAACGTGAAACTGATATCGATGAATTTGATCTTGAAGTTAGAAATCTACAAAAACTTCAACAATCAAAAAAAGTAAATATCATCGCGAACTGCGCAAGTTAATTTAATTAAGATTTTTTCAGTTTTGGACACGAGAGACTTTTTTAAATGCAAGTAAAATATGCATGTACCCGAAGAATTCATTTTACCTGTAAATGTAGAAATCGGAATGTTTTGTTAATGAAGTGGAAGGAAATTTTTCATAGATTAGAACTTCTCTAGCAGAAGTATTTTAAGTTTGTTCAAATGTAAAAACGGTTTAATTGACCGAATACAGTTAAGACTTACTCATTCATACGCGAGTATCTAGTCCGAAATTCGAAGATAATTTTTCTGGCAGGTAACCTTGACACATAGGGATACTGTTATTAGAGACTTTATTCGTCACTGATTGATTTGCATATTTCTTTTTAGTTCAAAACAAACAAAAAGATTTACAAACTATTAGAAAAAGTAAGTTGATTCGTTTACCTTTTTTTTTTTTAATAATCGACGAAAAAAAGTCGATTTGGCCGTCAATTACATGGAGAGTTTTTATAGTATGTTAAAGACGGCACAATAATAGACAGTAGCACTAACACACAAAAAGATCGTTCAAAAGACAAAAGACGAAAATCACTGATCGATACAAAAGATGAAAGAAATCAGGTATCATATGATGATTGTAAATGCTTAATGGTTCTCTTGTGCTGTATTTGTCTTTGCTCAATGTGCTCTCTGTTATATGGTCTATAGAAAACAAATATTTTTTTTGTGTTTTCTCTTCTAGGCAGCAAATCCATTGTTTGAACAAGTTCAAAACAAAGCCGAAAGAATTCAGACAGTTGTAAGTTGAAAAGATATTAATAAAAAAAACTTCTTTTTGCTCAGATTAACAAAGCCGGACAACGTGTTGCTAGTGAAGCATCATCCGTAAGAAACAATTTAACATCGTTCGATGTAAGTTTAATCGATAAAATGATCGATAAAATGCAATTATTTTTTACTTATTTAGATTAATGATGTTATTAAACGAACACATAATTCTAAAATGCATCAATCCGTAAGTTATCGAAATGTAAAATTCTTTTTGTTTAAATTTCTTTTCTTAGATTACAACCAATAATGTTCGTGATACAAAACCAGTTCATCAAGTAAGGATTTTATTTGTAATTGTATTTCTTTTTCTATTTTATTTCTTCTTTTCAGTCGAGTACACCTGATATATTGAATGAAAAGTGAGTACTGAATAGTCACTTCGATTTCTCTTTGATAGAAGTTTTAGAGCAGCATAGAAAGAAGCCCCTAGCGACTTCTTTTTGTGTACTCAAAAAGTGAGTACTAGAATCGGCCAGTGCGTCCGTCCGTCCGTCCGTAGACACGATAACTTTCGAAAGGAGAGTCAGATCGTGATGAAATTTTCCCCACAGTTCAATCTCATCAATATCTCGGTCGAGTTCGAAGATGAGAAGGATTCGTCAAGAAATGGCTGAGTTATCGAAAAAATTGTCATTTTTGATCAGACCATCCCTGAGGGGGAGTACAGGAATTTTTCAAAAAACAAATTTTTCTCAGAATTATTCACAACATATATAAATCGTCTCAGTTTTTAACGCTGATTCTGAATCTGATATTAGTTTTGAATTAAACCGTAGCTTTCTAACGAAACATCGCCTGAAAAACGTCTCAAAATGCACAAAAACTACATCCAGAAATCAAATTGCCTAGTTCCTCATGATAATTGTGGTGTTCAGACATTCTAGAATGACTCATATGTCCCATGTACTTTTTGCAGTACACATAACTTTCGGATGAAATCCGAAGTTTCCACATTTATTTTTCTTATATTTAATCAACGCTGTTTTTTTTGTTTGTTTGTTATTCTTAGCTCTATTCCATATGAAAGAATTCATTCGAAAGACAATTTTTTCCTATCTGAACCACACTTGACCAATCAAGATCAAATATCATCGTCATCAGCTTCATCGTCGCGTTCTTCAACACCGGAAGTAGATCGTCATAAAAGTAATACCTTAATAAATTTAGATACTGATGATGAGGTATGACTATTTTTTATTTTTTATTTAACATCTTATTTTAATTTTATCAACTAGAATCTTCTATTGCCATCTCCGATTGTTCTAAACGTAATTAATACTCTTGTGACACCCCCCGTTCAACGTCAAACTCCTCAAATCGATTCAAAAATTAAACAGCTACAAAACGAACTGCAACATAAAGTTCAAACATTCGATGGTAAACGTCTTGATCCTCGCAATGAATATGGACAAGAGAAAAAAGAAATTAAAAAAATTGTCGAACAATTCGATCCACTCGATGATCCGAATTATTTCGGTCGAGCCAACAAAAATTCGAACGAATTTTTAGCTTCAATGCCAGTCACATTTCGTACTGAAGAGAAATTACCATCAAATACATATGACCGGCATCCATCGATTTATGAAACAATACCAACAAATCACGTTAATAATGTTCTACAAAATATTCATAGTATATATGGTACACCAAATCGATTAAATTTACGAGCTACTGTTTCCATGCAACACAAATCACAGGAAAATAATTTGAACACTTTTTCTCCCTCACTCACGGCACCTGCAGGATTATTTCCGGTCAAAACTTATTCAACAACTTCAGATGATTTAGAATCGAATTTTGATCCATTAGCACCTTCAAAAGAGAAAAATCTATATTCAAATATGCCGCAATCGTCGTCATCAAGAACCAATGGATCGAATTTAATTGACTTTAATTAATTCTTTTTTCATTTTCTTATTTGCGCATCTCGGTTGTATGTTGTATTTCTAGTGTCTTTCATAATATTATTTGCTGTTTTCTTTGTAATCTATCCTGAGAATGGCGATGACGAGAGAAATGTTAATGCAATTTATTCTATTTTTGTTTTGTTTCTTAAAATTAATTTTGTGAATATGTTAGCCGATGTATAAGAAAAATATTATTGATATATTATTATTTAACTGTATGTCAATATTAATTTTATTTCAGACTTGTAGTCTCTTGAATTTTATGTGATTCAAAAAAAGCCATGAATGATTCAATGATTAATTCCATCTTGTTACCATCGTCGATTCATCTTGAAAATCTTGAACAACTAATAAAAAATCTCGAACAACAAACACTCAATATCGATAATTTCGAAAATACATTAAACAATGATAATAATCAAAAATTACTGGATAACTCCTATTTATCGGTCTCATCAAATACAATATCTATTGATAATGCATTAGATGAAAGTTTCCTTCTGAAAAGCATCAAAATAAAAAATGATCCTACAAAAGACAATCATACCGATGAAAGTATATCTATAGATAGTCTTTCAGTTCAACGCGATTTATTTATTCATGAAGATCTACAACAACAAAATCGACCAGTTAGTAATGATCAAAGTTTATGTCAAGATCACGATAGTGGATTTACATGGGACGATCAATACGACACACAAGCCAACTATTGTATAGCTTTTAATATTGATAAATCACAAGAACTCGATTCGAAATACGATAAATCATCTCGTTCACAAACAAATCAAAAGTCAAATTCTGTCTATTCCGATGACGAGATTCTCTCGAATATGATCAATAATATAAACGATTGGTCTATGCGATCGGATTGCAATGCTTTCGAACAGCCAATTAATCGATCGGAAAATATTCATTCACAATTTCATCTGCCTTCGTCTACATGGCCGCAATCAATACAAAATAATAATGCGTCTGGTTCATCAACATCATGGCGTCAAATGAAACAAAACCAACGAGCAACAACACAAGAAACAGACGAACAAGAGACACGACCACTTTCGCCTATAAATCTTTATAAAATTTTCCAACAAAAATCTAATGCGATTGCAGTATCACCTCGAATCGCTTTTCAACCGTATCGACAACAGAATGATGCTTCGGATAAGATGACGACAGAAAAATCAACCACATCACAAAGTCATTCACATATTGATCAAGCTAATCAAACGTCTATTCATGTTGATTCTTCATTGAACAATCAATGTCAAACAACATCTCCCATAGGTAAAATACTACTCACTTAAAAGATTTGAAAAGTATCGTTTCTTTTCAGGATCGAAATCAAAATCATACGATAATCTCAATTTACCATGTTCAGCAGTCGCATTTTCTATTAATAAATCGTTACCCGATCTTTCTTTTATCTCGCAATATTCAAAAGAACTACCTCGATCTCAAACAACATCACCAGTGCCACGATCGTCTTCATTGTTTCTCAATGCTGCTCGAACAACATCATCTCCAACATTAGTTCATCTTCAAAAACATGATTCAGATCGACCTCGTACACTTAAATCAATAAAAAGATATAAAAATAGTAAACATTCTACTGAGCCCTTAGGCGCTTTCTACAGTCCACAATTACGAAATACTTCTACTTCTACACCCAATTCAACGGCGATCAAAATGAAATTACCATCACCTTCATCGATTCAATCAGAACAGCAGCAAAAACTGAGCTTAAAATCTTGTTTGAAATATCAATCGAGAGCCAATTCTTGTGATATTCAAGTAACACTGAGAGATCAAAAGCCACGAACATCGTCATCATCGATTCCTACATTATCAATTGATCAAGTAAGAATAGATCCTATATAATCCTCATTATAGCAAAAGAACTTCGGTCTGCTATAGAAAAACTTTCTTTGGATGTCGATCAAGACTCTTACTTTTGGATATTAACTCAACAAGTTACATGAGAATATGGATTTCAAAGTCCATTAAATGATTAATAGAAATAGACATCCACTATTTGGTAGTTTGACAAGGTTTCTAATGCTTTGTTTATACTAATAAATATGCGTATTGTTAATCTTTTTGCTATTTCGCTTCACGCTTTTCTCCAGTATAATTAGCTGATTTTCGCTTTTGATTTTCTATTGACACGAACAATATTTACGATGAAAATCGTTGTTTACTTTCTAGGACTCAAATTTCCGTTCAAGAATTGACGGATTTAAATCTTCCGACGCTATTTATTCGACAAGTAACTGCCCGAATAACATCAATAGTTATCAACGAGAGCATCATTCTGAATATGATCTTCCATTACTCATCGAACAAGTTAATCAAACAAAGAAAAGTGTTAGCTTTTCGGGGAACATTTCTAAACATGCTTTATCATCGTCGAATGCATCAATTGCATTCAATGAAAACAAAGATAAATTAAAAAATCGAACAATCATACGCCATGGTGAAATGCGTCGATGTCAAAGTAAGTTATTTGAGTAGGGTCAGCTCATTTATTTTTATTTATTTGATTCAAAAGAAACTTAATCCAAACGAGATAATGATTATATGCATTGCCATTCGCCATTCATATCTTCTATACTAATCCGATACGATAAACTATTGTTGCTTTTCTCTTTTTTTTTTACTCTAGCTGACATTATTCATATTGATCCTGTTCTTCATCGATATACATTCAATGATAGTCCACCGAATGAATTTTGTTTACAACAAGATGATGATATTTTAATGGAAGAATCTTATGGAAACGTTGATGAACCGCTAGAAGAGAATATAGTTGTTTCGTCGTCGCCTTTTCATTCAACAAAGATCGCATCAAATGAAAATGAAACGAATCTCTGTGATCAACCAATGATGACAAAGAATGTGTCGATATTTGATTGTATGATGAAATTTAATTTATTTCAAATTAATGATTTTCTGTCGTTATTTAGATTTATTAGAAACGATCGTTGATATCATTAAACGTCTATTTGAAATAAAACAATCAGAAAAAGTAATTATGAAATGAATTTTTTTTTTAAATTTAATCTATTTATTATTTGTTATTATAAATAGTCATTCTTTCTCAATAATGAAAATAATCTTCAATTAGATTCTCTACTTAAAAATGAGTTTTGTACAGCAATTCAAAATATTCTTGAACATGGTCGAAAAGATTTCAAAAAAATAACCCTATGGAAAATTATTGAAATGTCAATGAGTCAAAACAGTTCATCGTCATGTTCGGCAAGACAAGTTCCCGAGATTTATTCTGAAAGTAAAACAATGGCACAGCATATTTCATCGAATTGGCTCTATAGATTTCAAGCATTTATCTTCCAATTATTAAAGTTCGTTCTTTTTTTTACTATACATGAAATGCTGAAGTATCTAGGGATACAAATCTTGACAATCCCCGAATAGAAAGCTAGAAATACGAAATGACGTTTGTGAAACACGATCTGAAAGGAGTGCTGAAGTATATAAGGTAGAAATTTGGACCCCCACAGACTGTTACAGAAAAATTAATTAATTAGGAACTTTCTTAATTAATTAATTAATTATTTTCTCTGTAACGGTTTGTGATGGTTTCTAGAGACTCCATACATCATCATACAACCCGTAACAGAGAAGCTCCACAGACCATCACTGATCGTGATTGACGGATTCCAGAAAAGGAGTTTCCTCGTGTTTCACATTTTAATCCTACAGGGGTTGCCCTAACAGCTTTTCTAATATTATCTCGGAGTGAACTTTCAAATTCGAAAAGGAATTTCCTATCTGCTCAGTTGTTTAATCGAAGCTGAAGCTGCCTAATGATCAGTGACAGTATTTCTATTCCGCAGTAATAGAATTAAATATCCTATTTCTTTTTTCTAGTAAAAATGAATTAATCAATTGGCTCTATTATTTTACAAGACAAAAAGATATTATTCAATACTATTATCAACCGCCTGATGCTTTAGTTCTTGTTTCTATTCCAGCGACATTTAATCTATTCGAACGAATTATGACTCAATTAGAAAAGCTAACACCACTTGCATTTCAATTAACATACCATGTACCGAATGCTTCACTATTAAATGATGATCAGTTAAGTACATCTATGATTAGTGTGCATTCATCTAAAGCAAATGCACGAAATTGGCTGATGTCTATATCACGACGAACGTCAAAAAATCTAACGCATTCGATTGTTCAAAACAATTCTAATGAGACAATTCGTTCAACGTTGACCAAGAAATTTAGTACACTATTTTCCAGAACAAATCCACAACAGCAACACCAACAAAGAAAATCATCGTCTGTCGTAACAACAAAATTACCAGAACCTAAACAACAACCGGTATCATCAGAACAATTACGTCGATTAAATCAGCCCGATTTCGTCACAAATTCATTAGCCACAGCTACAACAAATAAGTCAATTGTTGTTTCAAATGAAAAACTACATGGTTCAATACCACGAAATGTAGCATCCACTACGGCGCCTATGGGAATATTGTCAACATTTCAAACGAAAATGTCACGTACTTCATTAAACATTGATACTCCGAAATCAACCAAATATCATACAAAAGTACCTTTGCTAAAATAATTTTTTCTTCTTACTATTTTAATGTAATTTTGTTTTCTTTTTCTTCCTATTTTATCATTCCATTTAATCTGATGAATTTTCAAGTCCAAAAATTATGGGTTGCTACTCTTGCCTTTTTGTTTCTCTGTATGAAAATACTCGAATTTCAATAATAATAATAATAATAATAATAATAATAATAATAATAATAATAATGCGATACATTACCTTCGTTAAAAATGTATTTATCAAATACTCGAAAGGAAAGTAATCGTATGATGACAAGTGCATTGATTCAATGCGAATAAGAATCCGATCGAGACGATTGACGTTCTCATCAAAGTCTAACCAGCGTTCTCTGATCAAAGCTAAAAGGAAAGAGTTCGATATTATATTATATATTTATGACAAGATATCAAGCGGTGACAGTCGCCCATGACGAAACTGGAGAAAGAGCAAACCTCATCGTTGAAGCGACTTTATCGAATTCTGATTAGAATATTCTATGAACAGTATAAAATCACGATTCGACTGGATCCGGGTCTAAAAATTCTTTTTTTTTTGCTGGTTATGGGCTTTGCTGAAATCCATGAAGTTCTTCGGGTTGAAATAAATTCTTCGTCGGCAAACTTAAAAATATATGCATTGTTGCATTCAATGAATTTTTCAATATACATTTCAGATATTATAATGGCAGAAGGAGGTAATCAAACAACAGCTTCTTCCTCGTCTATGGTCGATGGTGTCAGTAAAGAATATCTTGCCAGTTTAATTGAAATGGGTATTGATGAAGCAGCTGCTCGACAGGTTATTCATATTGAACTATATTATTTCAATGTCTTTTCACAATACGATCGTAGGCCTTAACAATCGTCCATAATCGAAGTTTAGAAGAGGCTTTAGCTATTATTTTTGGTGAACCTTTACCATCAGCAAGCAGCACAACTACCAAAGAACAAGCGGTTCAAGTGTCTCAATCCGTATTCGCTTCTTCTTTTCTAATCAATTTCAACTCCATTATCTATTTAGAATATCACTGTCGACGACGATATTGGTGTAAACGTTGCCACATACAAAATGTTATTTGTTGTTAATGGTTCCTTAGACATGAGTTCGGGTAAAATGGCCTCACAAGTTGCGCATGCTGCAATTGATTTGTATCAAAAATTAATTGAAAAACGTTCAAAAGCTTTATTCCATTGGCAAGAATATGGTGAAACAAAAATTGTTGTTCGTGGCAAATCAACTGACGAACTGCTTGATATTTTATCTGGTGCAAAAAAGAACTCATCTATAACAACATCAGTTGTTGAAGATGCTGGTCGAACGGAAATAGAAAGCGGTTCGATTACATGTGTTGGTTTATTTGGTACAAATGAACAATTAAAACCAATTACAGGTCATTTAAAATTAATGCAAGACTGTTTAAAATGTAATGGGAAATAATATTCAACTAAACAACTACAAAATTTGATTTAAATTGAAAGAAGAAAAAAAAGAACGTTTTGTATTTTTTTGACTAGAACATTATGAATAAGATCGAACAGAACTAAATAATTGTAGAAGATCAACAGAAAATTTATTTGAAAAAAATTGATTCGGAGTTATGTCATTTGTTGTTGATGTTGGTTCGTCTTGTTCGTGAATATCTGAAAAGAAATCGTCTTCATTCGATTGTTCTCTCACAAAACGGCTAATTCTATTCTTACTTTGCATATTTCGATGAAGTTTCTGATGAGATTTTAAATTGCAATGAAGAGAAAATAATTTTCCACATATGTCACATTTATGATCTTTTCGACCTTTTGGGAAAATAAATTACTTAGACCGAAAGAAAAACTGAGAATTACCTGTGTGAGTTAATAAATGATTTTTAAGATTTGTTTGTTTTGAAAAACCTTTTGAACATTGATGACAACGAAATGGCCATGTACCTTGATGAATATGCGTATGACCACGAAGATCACCAGGCGTAGCAAACGTCTTTTCACAATAAGAACATTTATGAGGTTTTTTCTAGAATATTTATCGGTCAGTTGAAAGAAGCAAAAAGAAAAACCATACTTTTGTATGTGTCATACGATGATAGTAAAGATTTGAACTTGCCGTAAAACGTTTGCCACACACTTCGCATGAATGTGGCTAAAGAAAAGAATAATCATGTAGGTTTTTTGTTGTTGTAGAAGAGCGTTACCTTTTCTCCGCTATGTATTCGACAATGAGTATTCAATGACGATGACGTGGAAAACGCTTTTCCGCATGTTGAACATACGTGTGGCTTTTCACCTAAAATTTTAGTAGATTTTTATATTTATGAACCTGCGCTCGAAATTCTCCTCGCAGCCTATCCGATCTACAAACCTGTATGAGTTCGTGTGTGTCGACTTAAAAGCGAAGGTCGATCGAACATTTTGCCGCAAACATCACATGTCCATGATTTGCGTTTACGTCGATTATTGTTTATATAATTATCTGGCGTTTGTGACTTTGCAAAAAGAGAAGAAAATCGAAAAATGCAAATGATCAATGATAAGACTTACAGCGAATTCAGTTTCGATTATTTTCTTTTTACTGTTAACTGATGACGATAACAAATTATCGATCATAAATGCAGCTGACCGTGTCGATATGACTGTCATAATCGTGCTCTACTGTTCTTCGAATGTACGATCGGTAAAATAGACTACTGTAGTTCAAGTTTGATGGCAAGATTTCTGCTTACTCGATATTTTCCTTTTTTTTTCTACTTAATGTAAACATTAGCCAATCACAGCTTTAAAAAATCAATTGGTTATCCAATGAAAAAGTTTTTTTTCTTCTTTTCTTTTTCCGATCTTTGTGACATTTGTTTCAATAGACGAAAGATATAGCCATCCGGTACTTAATTATCAAAATGTTGTTCATTCTATGAACAATCCGGATATGCAAAGTGATTTATGAACTCAAGTCGAATGAGTTTGCCTATAAAGAAGAAAAAAATCAGTAAGAATAGATTGACGAAAAAGCTAAGAATGTTATTGAGTAGTCTATTCATTCAAGAATAATGATAATGGGACAAGTGCACTGTACGTTTCGAGAACGAATAATGAAGAAAAAGCAAGAGAACAGGAAATGTCGTTGGTGCTTAGTCAATATAGATGATTGTTGCACTTGTTGTCTGGTTTAATTTTTCCGTGTATTTGAAAGTAATGATATTCTAGACGGACGAAGATTTCTTTTTATCAAAGAAAAAAGAAGAAAACTTGTTGTTTGAATTCAATTATGTAAGTGGAAGCAACTCCGATTGAAAAAAAAGATTCTGCTAAATAAATCGATTGTTTATCTGCAAAGCACTATATATATATATATATATTAGTAGAATAGTGAATATAGTTTTTTTTTATTCTCGAAATTGTATTGATGATTTTGATTGAACAATGAAGAGAAGCATCGAATCGACATTGCCCATTTGAGGTCATAGTGTAGATCGTTTTTAGATGAATTAAAGATTTCTCTATATGTTCTAATGGAATAAAGCTATTCAAAGGCCAGAAGTGCTTCTAATAAATTGCACTTCAATTTTTTTGTACAATGTTCCGAGAAAAAAAGAAGCCTTCAACTAAGAAATTTTGTTCGTGCACAACTCTTTGGAGATGAGATTGAATTATGTATGAGCGAAGCAATAGAGGTAAGTCGGAAGAAAACAATACTATCGCTAAGTAGAATGATCTAGAGAATGTTATGAGTGTACTCGCAATTTTATTCTCAGCATGATTAATTAGTACATTCAATAGACTGATTTGAAGCAGTGTGTTCTACAGGATTCTAATTTCATCCTAGAAGAAATCTATCTATTTCAATTGAACACTAGATTTATAACATCAGTGTAAATCGAAAAAACAGTTCAAATCAATCACACACTTAAAAGACTCGTCTGCTCTATGAATTGAATAAATGTTGCTGGATTAAAGAACGTTTTTTTTTCAAATTTTCTACGAATTGAATCGAATAGTATAACAGAAAATTTTGTTTCTATTGTCCTACTCTTCGAAAACAAAATGCATTTCATGTAGCGAGATCTCGTTCGCACGCTGCTAAAATTCATTTGGAAAAATTTTAGAAATTTCCCATGCCGTTAACCTTTAATCTTTATACTTCTATTTCCAAGCAAATCACAATCGAAAACCATTTAGTATCGATTTTTATATTTAATTTTTGAAGCTCAATGGCCTTTCATACTCTATGAAACGACAAAAAGATCATTAGAATATATGTTAGCCACTATAAACCTATTTCCTGTTCGTTTGTTTTAGATGCTTTCATTCTAAATGCTTACATGTTTAAGTAAATGTGTGTGATTTAGATTCTTACTTTTCAAAAAAAAAAGACAAAGGGCTTTTTTCTTATCCTTTATTTATCAATCAAAATCTTCTATCATCTCTTATACATGTCTTAGATGTATAATATATACACGTATGCATATATCTATATATCTCAATAAGTCAAAACAATCTCTTGTCTTTCTATTGACAAAACGTGTCAAACAACACTTGAGGATTATCAATAATAGAGAGGACACATCCTTTTTCTCGTCCTGGATTAATTGTATAGAACACAGTAACAGGAGTACAAAAAAAAAGAAAGCTACGAAAAATAAAAAACGAACCCTCTATAAGCACGTGTAGTAATTGTCAATTGTCAAAAAAGAAGAAACAGAACAAAATTGAGCCTCTTGTCACACGTGCTTGTTATTATTCATAGAGAAATCAGTTATGTAATAATTACAACATAATCAAGCGGATGTTTAGCTGTTGTTGTTGTTGTTGTTGTTACCGTTGCTGTTCATGATTTCTTTTCAAGTAGAATTGGTCAATGAATGATTGAAAGAACGAACATGTATGTGAATAAAATGATATAAATGACGGCACGTTCGGCGCATCATCGAGATCCGAGAAAATGTTATCGAATAATTTTAATTGCACAACGGATTTATAGTAAAGAATTAGAAGAGAGAAAACAAAGAAGCAACACACACACGCACAAGGAAAAGATCAGTCAGTCGAATAGTGATTAACTTTTTTCCTATCGATTATTCATTACATACTATTGAAAACAAATTACAAAGAGCACATGCATCCTTATACATCAAACTATCCTGTCCCACCGTATCCATCATTATCATCATTTGTCCATCCACTCATACCGTCAGCCAATACGAATGTTATGACATCGTTTCCATTTTTTCATGGATCGCCTGATCGATTTACGGGTATTGATAAAATAAAAGTATTTTTCGCTTTTTTGACATCATGCGAAATCAATTCTAGAATTCCTTCTCGATTCTCGGCATCCACGTAAACAGCGTCGATCTCGTACGGCTTTTACAAGCCAACAGTTACATGCATTAGAACGATGTTTTGTTAAAACTCACTATCCTGATGTTGTCGTGCGAGAAAAACTTGCTCTTTATACAAATCTACCTGAAGCTCGTGTTCAAGTAAACCGAAAATATTCTTTTTAAGAGTATGTGTAAAAATAAAATACGCTTTAATATAGGTCTGGTTTAAAAATCGGCGAGCCAAATATCGGAAGAAACAAAAAATACTAATTGATACGTCCAAAAAACTAACAACGGTTGTCAACGATATTCAATCAAGTGACGACGACGATGAGGATGATGAATCGAACTTAAAACATGATCCGATAATGGTCAATATTAAAAATACAGGTGATTTTTATTTTTTTTTCATATTGTTTTTTTTTGTTGTTTTTCATTTTCTAATATTATTAAGACGCACCAATAATACAGACATCATCGACTTTAATGTGTCATCAATTATCATCACTCGGTCGAATGTCGTCCTATGCATTGAACAATGAACAGCACTTCAAAGCCGATTCATCAATATACAATTTTTCTACTAATGATGAACAATCGAAATGGCGTCCAAACTCATTGAAATATCATATTGAAAGTTTATTACAGTAACTTCATATTGACATAAAAAATAATATTTATAAAAAACAATAATTGTCTTTCATAAAAAAAAATGAAATTCCAGGATGATAAACATCAAATGATATTTATGCGCTGAACTGTATTTTTAACTCACAAAAGAAATCAAACTGTCGAGTGCCAATATCTGAATTGTAGTTTTAGACTTAAAGTTATTTGCAAACTATGACCTAAAGTCTAGACGAAAAAAGAATTGGTTGTGGTTGTAGGTATCAGTCGTTTCTCACAAATATCAAGAACCACATCCGCACCGCCATACTTACACGTAAGATTTGCTATGAGTATGTATATTTCAAAAAAAATACTCTTGTTACTTAGCTTGCTAATTAAAAATCATTTCCATCTTGAGAAAAAGATTCGCTTTACCTCTATCGATTCGTACTGAATTTTAATTTTTTCAAAGTGGACTCTTCGACTGCTAAAAACGTGCTTAAAGCAATTTGCTACTGATACAGAAACCATCAATAGCAAAAACGAAACAAAAAAAGATATACTTGAATTTGATCTGATAGGAATGAAAAACAACGAGACGATGAAATATTTATTGCGAAAACAAATATTCGTAACAACGATATTTACAACCAAACATTAGTCTCGATTATACGACCCATTAATAGTTTTATATAGACTCTGTATCTTTATTGCATATAGTTATAAGCGGAAAGGTTATTTCCAATTTTGAATTTTATCTAAGGCATGAATCATACCTTGATTCTTTCTCTGTTCTCTCATGCCTTCGTAATTTCAGCACATGGCGTAAAACATGCAATATTTCTCACTTGTGCAAGACCAACCTATTTAGTGCTTCAACCTTCACTTTCCTATCAGCAATAACAAAATTGTTTACTGTCATCCTCTTCAAGTTTCTCATACAATTTCATTTTTCTTTACTAAGACTCGATCTTGGGTCACATGATGGCTTCAACTACCAAATTTCAATCTCCTGTTATACCAAGAGATTCTGATGGGTTCGTCAAATCTTTCACGTTGTCAAGCTACAACTGTCCTGAAGCTACTGAAGCACGTACGTTTTTCGAAAAATACGGTTTCGTAGTGATTGCAAATGTCTACACACCAGAACAATGTAACGATACTATCTCAGACATTTGGAATGTAATCGAATCCTTCGTGAGACAGCCTGTGCGAAATGACGAACAACTTTGGACTCCCGAGTATGTTATATTCAGTCTTGTTAATATTTTTCATATGAATTTAATCTACCGTATTACTGTAGAATTTGGAGTAGAACAGGCATTGTACACGAAGGTATCATTGGTGGCGCTAGTCTGTGGACTCGTCAAATCTTACTCAATCGGCAGACACCAGCTCTTCATACTGCTTTTGCAAGTGTACTTGGAACAGAAAATCTTCTGGTGAATCAAGATCGTTACGGAATGTTTCGACCTGCTAAAAAACATCCTGAACGTTCCACGATGACCAATTTACATTTAGATATGAATCCATGGCTTTATATTGACGGTTTGTTCTCATGTCTTTTCGGATACTCAATAGTTTGTTGTTTGCTTTGTTTATGCACTTTAGAAGAAGACAATTCGAAACAACTGGAAGTTCTCGGTGAGCTAAACTATGATTCTGATGATGACTGGATCACCGAGAATAATGAGCCCGGGTGTGCCAAAGTCGGTGAACTGCATGTACAAGGTCTTGTCAATCTTGCCGATAATCTGGAAGAAGATGGTGGATTCTGGTTAGTTCCTGGTTTTCACAAATATTTACCACAATGGGCTGCTGATCATAGAGAGATGCTTAATATTTATGGACACTACAATCAGTTTATAATGATTGGCAGAAAGTACATTCCAGAGTTATATGATGCTGCTTGTCACATATCCAGTCGTGCCGGTTCAGCTATTCTATGGGATCAACGAACAATGCATGGGTCGCGAGCGAATTGCAGTGCGCGCCCTCGATACGCTCAATTTTTCAAGATGTTTCCCGTTGATCATCCAGCTATGACACCAGAGAGAGCAGAAAAACGAAGTAAAACAATTATGGTGAAGCTACAAGCCGTTAATATTGATCCAGAGACGGACATAACTCCGCTGGGTAGAAAGCTCTTTGGTCTTGCAACTTAAGCAGACAATATAACTGTTAAAAGAGATCAATGTGACGCTAAGAAGTTTCCTAAAGCTAAGATTTTACTTTGTTCGGTTTTAATAAAGAAATTAAGCTTGAAGAAGTGCTCATCTAATAGTAATAAGAACGAGATATGTATGTGAAGAGAAAATCGATCTTCATACGTTCTGCTTGAGCATAGCAATGGCTTACAATGAGGATCAGCTGACTGAAAACAAATGAATCATCTGATTTGACATCAGTTATTGAACGAAAAAAAATGTGAATATAAAAAAGGGAGAAAAATATTTTTGATAGCAATGATTCAGAGAAATGTTTTTACTTTTATAGGTTTTGTAACTTAATGAATGCAGAAGTAATTATTGAGCGATTAAAGGTAGGGATGCAACGGTGACGATTAATCGTTCACCGTTCCACCGCTTGAGACCGGTGAAAGCCGGAAAGACTACGAAACACCTACGGCGAAGGCCGGTTTTTTCTAAGATTCAGAGATATCTCTATCAGTGTGATCTGGTAGCACCGGCCTTCACCGTAGGTGTTTTGTAGTCTTTCCGGCTTTCACCGGTGAACCGGGCCCCGTCCACCGTTTCACCGCTCCCCGGTCCAACCGTGCACCGCTCCACCGTTTCGCCGGTCTCAAGCGGTGAAACGGTGACGGTGGAGCGGTTTTTGATCGTCACCGTTGCATCCCTAATAAACATTTTCGTCAACATCAAGTGAAACGAGTGGATTTATCAACTCTGTTAATAACTCATATAGATATAAAAAGATGATTTTTTTTCGAATTCTTTTCTCTTCTTTTTTTTCCTAAACAATATGTGATTTTCAATAGAAAAGACTAGCGAACTCTACATCATTTTGAAAAGTATCCGATTTGTATTAGGAAAGCCCTATTGAACTATTCAGATTTATTATTCAAATTTCGGTTCAGTTTGCTTAGTAGAAATCGGAGTTATCTCAACAAGTTTATAAATGTTTTAGTAAATGTTATACTAATTTAAATTTGTAAAACTCTGGTTTAATTTTGCCTAAATCTCGATTTTGCCTGAGACATATTTTTATATTTGGTGATCCTTGGACTCTCCTCTTTCCAATGGTATATAAATTTCCTTTTACTGACTTATTATCGAGGAGAAATTAGCGGTCTACGAAGAAGAGCTGCAACTGTCGCTAATAAGTATCGATTCCCTAATAACGACGGCCAGCTAAATTATTCACCTTAATAACGACGCTCCAGCAAAATATAAGCGAAAAGCTACTTTTGAAGAAAAAAAGGCTTTTTTCACGTTTTCTATGAGAAATCGAGGCGAGGTCTATTAGACAATTTTGTAGAGCGGATTGAACTCTACTATTATCTAGCGGTTCACGAAAAACTGACTTTGTTTTAATGGATTGCAAAATCTAATGAGAAGATATCCTAAATTGATTTTTAAAAAAATTTCCTTAATAACGACGCCCAGCTATTTTTTTCCCTAATTACGATACATCCACGAAACTTTGTGTATGACTGTACATAGAACTGAAACCAATATTCATTTTATTAGTACGATGGATTCTGATCGTTTTCCACCACTTTATTTTAGATTTCATGACAAGTCAATTTTTCGAGGCTGGGGTCCCCCTCAGGTCTTCGAAAAACATTTTTTGCCTTCGCTTAATTTATGATTCTTACAATTCAATAGATCTCTGTGTGCTGATTATGAATATCGTATTATTTTTCAAAATTCATAGAGTAATAAGAAAAATATTGAGCCTTTAAGATAGACCTAAAAACCCGTTTTTGGCCAATACGGTCATTAATATTCCCCTAAAACTCTTTGAGAATAGACGCATTCGACGCAGAATCTTTTTCTCTATCAAAATATATGAAAAAATTTTGAACCAAATAATGTTTTGCCATCGACAATAAGCCAATACCGGGCCCAATGGGTCCCTATGCTTACTAAAAGTGGTTCTTTCGACCGTTTTTTACTGCAGAATTTCAAGCCAAAAATAGTTTTATTGGAAAGAGGTCATTGAATTATGTTTGTGGCGAAAAAATCACGATGATCTATCCGGGCAAACTGTGTTTTCATAGGGTCGAAAAAATCACTTTTACTAAGCATAGGGACCCATTGGGCCTGGTATTACTAATTTACGCGAACAGCACGAACAGCCAAGTTTGTGAGATCGCATATAAGTCATCTTTACGAACACCCACAGCGCGTAGAATTATATTCACGAACATCCATTTTCTAGGAGCAATAATGAAAAAAACTGCCAACAAAGACTAAAAATGACCCCTCTCAACACGAACACCCAGAATCTCTGTTATAGCCTACGCAAACACCTTAAAATTTTTCTTATGAACACCCACAGAACTCCATAAGCTACATTTTGACCAAAGGACATGGTATCCTAGAATAAATCCTTATAGGACTTTTTCTCTGAAAACACGAGATCGATTAAATTTGACCATATATGCCCAAGAGGTCCATTTTAAAAGCTTAATAGCACCCAAATTACTCCTACGAACACTCACAGAGCTCCATAAGCTACGTTTTGACTAAAGGACATGGTATCCTCAAACGAATTCTTATAGGACTTTTGTTCTCAAAATACATGTGATGGGTCGAAATGTGACCATGTACACCCAAGAGGTTCCTTTTAACGCGTTCATAGAGCGAAATTTAGACTTATCAGCACCATTATCAAATTTCTATCTACTTATAGATATATAATTCAGTTAGTTGCTTAGGTAACGGGCCCACAACAGGCGTCCGCATTCGAAAGTTGATGTAGAGTATTTTGAGAACGACTGATTGCCATGAGTTGTCCTCCAATTCTAAAGCGTTTTCTGAGATGCTCTTCTTATATTTTAGAGAAAAGTTTCTGTACAAGCCTCGCAAGTGAAATTTCCAAAAAACCAAGATTTTTCAGCTTTAAGAAATGAAAAAAAGTGAGATTTTGATGGAACTGAGTTTCAGAGCACATTTTTTGATTTCAGAATCGGATTCAGCATTGAAAGGGTAGTATTTAAAAGAAAAATTGAGTGGTGAAAACCAAATTTTAATTTGAAAAACTTATTCCAAATTTTCAATTTTTACCTTTCTTTCTATTTTTATAATTCCGCAGAGATAAATGACAGATAGAGCCTTCAAATGTTCTTCGATAGAAAATTATAAACTGACCAAACCCGCGGATTTCATGATTTTATGTAGGTTGCAATAATCAATTTTAGGAGGATATTCACGAAAAACTACCTCAATTTTGAAAGTTTTCACTGCGTGTTCATCGTACGTTTGACATTCGAATTTTACATTTTAATGCCTTTTTAGCAGAAACGTGTATTTCAGTATAAATTCAACAATTGTCAACATAAATCAGATTTTAATACTCAATAAAAGCAGCAGGTCGTTAAGAAATAGTTCTTTCAAAATAGTTAACTTGTCTGAATATGAAATGAAGACCTGTCAAATGTTTCAATACAATCTATTCATAACTATACAATAAGTACACAAAAACAGAATGAAAATATAGGCCGAAACTTATATTCTATTGATGCAAAAAATTGAAAACGATGCAAATAGAGATCAGAGAAACATTTTAACTTTACAGTATTCGCTCAATAATGATTGGTTTTGATGTAGAAAGCAAAAATACTATCGATGGATTGTACATTTGTCGATTAGTAATCTGATTTTACGAAAATCATGTAAACTGTCATGCGAACATCGTCGATGTAATATATGTTGGTCTCATTTGAATATTAGATGTTTTTCATCACGGGATATATTCGAATTCACAGAATGGCTTGAACAAAACCAGTGGCATTATGTTATTTTATACTCAAAAGCTAATTTGTTTTCTTTGAGGATACTGCTTGGTCGTGAGTATGTATTTAAGAATTACGAAGTAGAACAAAAAGAACATACTTAATAATATCTAATTTAATTACAATGTGAATACATTTGACGAATTATTATTTTACGAGCATCTTAAAATTAAATGTAATTACTAATCCAATATGTGATTTTTGTGGAGAAAAATTCAATTCAATTCAATTCAATTCAATTCAATTCAATGATAGGACATGATCAGTACAAACAAAAATGCCTGCACTTTGTTTACTGAGAGAATTCGTTGAATAAAAAAACAGAGAAGTTGTATAAGTCGAAGGTATCTTATGCGACTACCAGAAAGACAACGACTGTTATGGAAAAATATGATATTTTAATAGGATGAAATAGTTGCTGGTTATAATGTAAAAAATACATTTTTTTCGATTATCATTTTTATAACAATTATTACATCAACTTGAATAAGCGAACCTGTTGAAGTTTGTCGAACTCAATTCCCAAAATACTATGCGAATGCTATTTATCAACAAATAATTGTAACGATACATAAATTAGAGTTAGCAAGTGTAAGAAATTTATCAAACGATAAATATTCTTGTTGGTGAAATTCAAACATTAAGTAGATAGCATTCTTCATTACTTCATTTAAATCGAAGTATTGGTAAGTAATCATTTAATTGTTTTAAATATCAGTGATATTGAACTGAAAATTACAAGAGAACAATTTTTTCCTCATTGACAAGGTTCTTTCTCGTTGTGATGTTCAAAGTAACAACTTGCTAATTCGCTCAGCATCACCATTTTGTGCCATATTTATTTTAGAATTTCTAACATTGGAAATAGGTGGAAATGGAAAATTCAAAATTACATCAAAACTACTTAATGGTGTTTAATCGTAGAAGAGACACAAGATCTTCATAATGTCACTCGATACTTTTTCTATGATGTATGAATTAAACTATATTCGTTTAACACATCATTTTGAGTCACAAACCGTAACTCTAATTTATCATAGAAAGATCACAGACACCAGCGTGTATTATGAGAAGAATTGGAATGAACAGTACAGACAAGCATCAGTTTATTTACCTCCATTGTATTCCTCACCAGTTGGCTTCAAGATTTACGTTCGCCTTTGCTTCAATGAGCACATAAATATT